GCACTCCATCCAGTATTTGCTAAATCGTCAGATGCTTTGCTTAAAGCTCCCAATTGCATTCGACCATATGCCGCAAAGCAAACACCACAGCTCTGATGCGCAATGCAAATAATGCGTTTTATAGCCGCAGCCAAATGTTTATGCTAATTCAAATGATCGCTACTTCATGGTTAGTTGCACTGAAAATAACCGGAAGGTTTAGTTAGAATAACATTTTCAAATTTCCCTAAGGCATAATCTCTACAGTGTTGGCTTAGAGTCCTGTTACACGATATGTATTTGTATAGTTATTGTTACTATTCTGATAAGTTTTAATATATGGTACATACGATTAAATACAAAAAAGTAGTGTTTACATATGCAAATACATATCGCGTAAGAGACCTGTTAGCGGTTTGGAATGTTTAAATTTTTAAATATACATACGTACATACATAGGCGCCTGGATGTGTGCCTTACTACATGCTGCATATGTCAGTACTTTGGAAATTTGAATGCTTAAAGATTATTAGTTTTAAGAACGAAATGAACGAAATCGGTGGACCGTCATGGCGTATGAGTAACACACATCTCTATGCAATTGATTTATTTTAAAAACTCAACTCATTCCCAGCGCCATCTACCCGGGGAAAGAAGTACACTTTATATTGGTCCTGCTGTCCAATTTTTAAGCAAGGCAATAATATTCGAAAACTCGGAATAAAAAAATTTTTCGAAGTCATGGTCATAAGACCGTTGTGAAAAGAGTGATGTATTGACACTTTAGTCAGAGGCTGATTCTTGAATCAGAAACTACCACTACTTCTTGTAAAATTGCAGATATATGTAGGTTATTAAATATATAAGCCCTCGACATGAAGATACATTCAACAGGTAAAATTTATATTTTTAAGCCCTGCAGTATGCCCTATATTATAACAGTTGCCTGATTTCTGTTACAAAGTTTAATATAAAGAGAACAAGGTACTTCTGCATTAAAATACCCTGCATATATGTACATATGTATGTACATTAGACCGTACCTTAGTAAAAATGGTATAAAAATTCAGTCAAGTGGCCATTTTTGATAAGGTCCATAAAACGTTCTGATTATTGTTGAGCAGGTTAGAGAGATGTTAAAAATAAATTTGCGGGTCTCGGGGGATTATGGAATCACCGCCATCTTGGAAAGATTATTATTTTTTTTTTTGAAAAACCTCATGAATACTTTTTTGTTGGATGAAAAAATCTACATTTTTTCTTTACGACTTTTTTCTAGGACATTAATAAAAAATTAAATATACATTTTTTTTAATTTTTGATAGTGGATTGTCTTAAAATCGTTAATTAATGGAAATAATACTCTTATATTCGCAATTCTTAAAAATAAGGCAAATAAGATTCAAGTAGTTTTAAACATTACGGTTGCATTTCGTTACTTTACCGAGTGCTCTTTTGTAACTCGGTTGCAAAAGAATGCACCTTTTAGTTCACACTATGTATACTTAGATGTGCATACATAAATAATATAACAGTGGGAACCTGGTTCCACTGCTTATTGGAGTAACTGTTTTAGTCTTCGGCTCGTACGTGCATTGAAAACACTGGAAGTGTGCCTTCCATCTATCGGGGCGTGGGCATAAATAAACGAGATGTTGTAGAATTTCTTTTTGATGCGAATTATGATGAGAAACTCTTCACCAGAGTGAACGACAGTACTCGGCAACGGAGTGTCTCTCACACCACAAATCCGACGTGCGCCTCTTTGCATGATTGCATATCTTAGATAGTAGTGATGTCAGCCTTAGTCTTTTCGAGAACATCAACAAGACCCTACGATTATTGCAGAGTAGTCAGCTTCTAAGCTTCATGGCGACCATAAGCTAAGATAGCCGATCATGTTTTGACCCAAAAAGCTTTAGAGATATAAAATACTATAGTATTTTTCTTTGATTAAATTTATTTTAATTTAAAACTTAAGGCATTCGTAAACAATGATGTTTTATAAACCAATATATGTAATCAAAGTTACGGTTAAAAACTGCGGAGCACTCTTATGGCTTGTAAGCGTCGAAAAAGTTTGTATAATATTCTGCCTTCTTTTCGTCATCCTTCTCATTCGTAAACTTCGTGTACCAATCGATCAGTTTGGTCTCCTTTGCCTTTTGCTCTTCATTCAAACTTTCCAAATATTTTTCAATCGCCTTTTCGAATTTTCCCGACACCACTTTCAATTCGGCTCTCAAGTCCTCCTCAAACTTATCCGCACCATTATCGATGAAAGCTTTTTGAACGGTTTTTGCTTGCTCCACTTCGGGTGGTATTTCATTGGCATCCTCCAATATGCTGGTGAGTGTAATCAACGAATCGAAAAGGGACAACATACCCTCAGCTTCGGCTGTATTCGGCTCGTGCGAGTTAGTATTAAGATAGTCGGCGATGCGGGTAATATTCGCCTGTAACGCTGGACTCTTTTCTGGAAGCGCTTCCAATTGGGCCAGAGCCTTCTTAAAAAGTGGACGACCATTTTCGGTAACATATTTAGCCAAACCAACTAAGTCGACGAGGGTTGTTGTCATCACTACCTGACGTGGCTTAAATTTCAGTGGAGACTCCTCTGAGGAGGATGAATTCGCCTTTTCGGGCACTGCCGTTGTTTGCTTCCTTTCGACTGCTGCCTCGCCTGCTTCACGACGCATGCGTGGAACGGCTTGTGCCTGTATAAATTAAAGTAAAGTAAATATTAGTATCCCTACAATTTAGTTGTGGAGAAATTTTTAACGTACTTGCACCAGCAGACATGCGCTGACTATTACAATGATTAAGCTCCTTGACATTTTTGATATTTTGCTGCTCGTCACGGTAGCTACAGTTGAACTGAGGATTACAGCTCAACTTTTCACTTTATATACCCTTCGGAAATCGAAAATGCATGTTCTTATTATTGGCATATATTATACTTATGTTTTAAGAAATTACTTTTCTTAGCTGCATTTCTAATCAAATATTCTTGCGAAAGTATCGACTCGGCTTTATTCCACTTAAGTGTTTACAAGTCCTTATCTTTTCATATAAACTTATATGTATACACATGTATATATGTATGTATGTACTTGCAGATTATGTGCACGCATTTGGCTGCATGTTTTCATACATATATATTTTATTATCTTGTTTTACAAAGAAAGCGACTGATTATACAAATCTTGTTTAACAGAATTTACATACATAATAACAGTTGCATCGAAATGTGCCTCTATGGCTGATCTTGATGGCTTGGGGATTATTCATACGATTTTCGACTTGACGACGAACTAAACCATTCACCAAGTCATTCGTCCCTTTGCTTTTTTCGATTTGATTTTTGATAACATAAGATGCCAATGCAGCCACATCCAGCATATTATAGAAAAGGGCCAATGGCCATCGCTGAGTACTGTGGTTTCGCACACGGGTGGATGGCATAGGAGTCTTACTTCACCTCATACCATTAGGAGCGACAAAAAAATTGGTTGGGTTATGTAAAGCTAATTGCCCGTCCCCCTGTTCGTCGTCATCCGATTCTTCAGGATCGCTCTCCACTTCAAAACAGTTTTCATCCTCTACGTCAGGGGCCTGTTCATCACAAACAAAATCATGATCGTCGTCGCCACCACTGTACGCTTTATGATCTGTAAATCTTACATGTTCTATGAGACGCACGTAATAATACGTACGCTGATCCTCTGCCATACTGCATAAATAATACCCATTTGTACATGTACATAAATATAAGTATATAAAATACAAATAGGAAAGCTTACTGGCCCAACATGATTGCTGAAAGGTATTCAAAGTTTTCCGACATTGTGCTAATTTATAACTTTGCAAAAAAAGACGTACTAAAACCAAAACAGCTTATCTCGTGACCACGCTTGATCGCACTTTGATATGGACTAGCTGAATTTTTGTAATTCTTACGAATTGCTCTCGCATAACTAGCGGTATTTATGTAGTTGTTGTTATTTTGCCTTCAAAGTTTGACAATTTTTACCATACTTAATGAAAGTAGTGGCGAAAAAAAAACAACCATTGCAATTTTTGCTTGATTCGCAGCTTCATAGGTCTGGCTAGACCTATGGTGTACGTTTGAGGTATAGGTTTAGTAAATTAGGAAATTAGGAATACGCATATATTTTAGAAATTTTGTTTTCCATCAACGCATTTAATATATTTGGTGAGGGTATCACAAATTCCTAGTTTTGTAGATTAATAATTTCTATAAGATAAAATGAGTTAAGGTTAGTTCAGGTCTGGCCAGATCTTGGTATACCCGTAAGGGTTAAAAACTCTTCGCCTTATCGATTAGTTCCGCGAAACCGATTTTCTGTAAATCAATTTTTTAATATTTCTCATCAAAGCAAATAACATTTACTTATAAGGCTAATAATGGCTACATAACATCAACGTATGCAAAAACCAGTTCTGTTTAGTATAAGAAAAACGCAAAAATTTTGTGACCAGTTTTAACATATTATTTTTGTTTTTATTCAATTTTGGTTATTTTTTTTTATAAAAATATAGTTCATTCCTAAATAAAGACCGTGCAAATCCAAGTTGCAAACTTTGTGCAATGTTCTAAAAAAATCAACAAACTTTCGTAAAATTTTCTAGCTTTTGATTTCCTAGATTATGAGTATGTAGTTTTGTAGCCCATTGAATTCTAGTAGAACAAATTACAAGTTTGAAATGGCTAAAAATTACGGTTGATTTTTCGAGTTTTTTTGTCCCATTTGCTTCCATATAACGAATACACAAAATTTATTTTTATATGAAAGAAATCCGTAACATCCTCGACAAAAAAAAAAATTCTAAAAAATCAACCGTAATTTTTAGCTATTTGAAACTTGCACTAGAATTCTATGGGCTACAAAACTGCATACTCAGAATCTTTCTGGGAAATTAATTATAAAAGCCAAAAATGTTTACGAAAGTTTGTTGATTTTTCTTTTTAGAATATTGCACAAAGTTTGAATCTTGGATTTACACGAGGTTTGTTAAAGAATGAACAATATTTTTGTAAAAAATAACCAAAATTAAATAACAACAAACATAATATGTTAAAACTTGTCAAAATGCGGTGCGGCTATAATTATTTCGACCAATGTATATATTCTACATCAGAGTACTCATAACTCCAACAAATCAAATTGTAAAAAAATAAAGTTAAAAGCAAATTTCTTAGTACTATTTTTTTTAAACCTAAGAAAGTATTTTCTAAAAAAAATGGTGCTTTCCACTGTCATTGTAAAATTTGAAGTGTTAAGAATTTTTAGTTCCAGTCCGAATTTTATTATGAATGTTTTAAGAAAAATAGGCCAGAAAACGGCCATGAAGTCGGAACTAAGTTCTGAGGCTATGACATAAAATAAAATGCTAAATATAGCCTCAAAAAGGTTAACCTGGTCACACGGCGGGTATGTACTAGAACGGGATAATTGTGGTCACTGATTTTTGGTGCAAAGAACGTAGATATATCATACTTTAAAATCTGACTGTAAATGCCGAAAGTATGACGAAAAATGTAAAAAAATATATCGAAATTGCTTTGCAAATATACTTTAGACTCAGAGTTGTATGGCGAACTTTTATTTTCTGGTATGGTCTAGTGTACATACACAAATAGTACTGCTACTATTTTCATACTAAAAGGATCATTGTAACTACAATTTATTTTAAAGCAGTTTTTATCAACAACATTGTAATGCAACAACGTCGCGAAAGCAATTTGAACTTTCAAGTGCATTATATGTGACAAAGAGAAGGGAAAAAGCGAAGTGCCAGAAGCACAATGGCGTAAGCGCAGTAGCATACTTTCAGGCGTATATATACATATGTACATATATGTATATAGTACATATCCCGAAGGTAAAACCCAGTGGCCCTGCAATGCAACTAAAATTGAATTGCCCGATTTTGCAAATTGACAACGCAAGGTCGAGTGTATTTGTGGAAAGTGAAACACAATGAGAATAAAAGCGAAAAATGAGAATCGAGTTCGTGGAGTAGCAGCAAAGAAACTTGCATGCATTTGTGTACATATATTTTGGTATATGCAATTATTATGCATTAGCTTGGTACTCAGTAATAAGAAGAATGGACACGAGAAGAGAATGAGAGAAATGAGGTCTTATAAACCAACTCAAATGACATATACTTACATACATACATATCTAAGTAGTAGAAAAGATGCAATGCAACCGGTAATATATTACGAAGAATTCGTTGAGGAGGTAAGGAAATCTTGAAAATGACACAAAAATATGGGCCTCAGACAATCGCATCGTTTTTATATAGATACTATACTTAAATATTTTTAGACACACAAATAACCAATTTGCTTTAATATCTTCATCCGCGCAATCCCAATTTCCACTTGCAACAAGTGCGCACCACAAATTTATTTGCACAGCCACTTCTGCTTACGAGCGAAAAATGTGCCACCAACACAACCATAAATCCAATTTCTTACCACTTAGTGTCGGCAAATACCTTTAATGGCGAAATAAAAAATAAAAAAAAAGCAAACGAAAAAAGTCGGCCAAGAGTGAGAAATGATCATGAAAATCAGGTCATAAGTAGAATTTTGTGGGCACTTATAAGGAGTTGAGCAGCACGTTTGTGTGGTGATAATGTAAAGACGCCAACGTTTAGCCACAAACCAAAAGAAATTCAACAGCCGCCACAGGTCGTTTTATGCTGGGCATGTTGACGTTTAGGAAGAGCAAAAAGTAACGAAATAGTTATTGCTGACTTTATTAGCTTTTGCTGTAAGAATGCGAGGCAAAAAATTTAATACCGTAGATGTAAAAACAAACTCGTGTCTCTGTGTGTGCGTGATTTTGATCCTTAAAGCAAAAACAAAACCAAAAACAAAAACACATAGCGTTAAAAGTCAACGGTGTAACTTCGTCCGTTCTAAGAGAACAACAAATACATTTCATGGCATCAAGTGGCNTAAACTCGTGTCTCTGTGTGTGCGTGATTTTGATCCTTAAAGCAAAAACAAAAACAAAAACAAAAACACATAGCGTTAAAAGTCAACGGTGTAACTTCGTCCG